CATGTGTGTTTTCAGGGTGTTTGACGTGCATTCATTGAAATAGTACTCAGTCATGTGTGCACCAGCCTTCTTAGAAACACTTTCGATGTTGCTTCATGTCTGGGGAAGGGGATAAAAAGGAAGAGAAAGGAGAGGTGAGTGAAAAATGACAGCCAGGGAGACCAGTTCTCACAGACCATGGCAGTCCAGCTAGTGGTTAAGGGCTTAGTCTCTAGGATCAGAAGCCCCTTTTCTTATTCTAACACTGTGATCTTGGGTGAGTCACAGATTCCTCATCTATAAAGTGAGCATGAAAACCATATCCAGCGAGAGGTCATCATCCAGCAAGGTCATCGTCCACCCCCACACACCTGAGATTTTGTTTAGGTTCCACAGCACAAAGTAAGTAAAGTTTACTGTACCTGGATGATAGTAAGAGCTTCAGATATGACTTATGATGTGAACATATCTAGCACGGTAAGCATAAAAACCACTAGAAAGAGTAGGGAAAGTCTGGATTAAAGAAAACCTGAAAGATGAGGCACACTATGGGATCATGACTTGCCAAGGAACCACCACTGACAGACACCTCCCTTACTCAGGCGTATCGTTGCAACAGCTGCATAACTGGACTCTGAGGAGCCAGTCTCTCCCTAATTTCAGGAATCCATAACACTTGCCCACCACAGAGCCTGTGCAAATGGGGCCGAAGTGCACTCCCAAGCCAGGGGGGAGCTTATATAGAGAAGTCCCATCCCCTGGTCCGTGATTAGTCTGTTCTCATACAAATGAGGACTCCAAATCCTCACATTTTGACTGGTCCAAAAAGCACTGCTCTAATTGGCCAAAATAGCTGCTCTAATTGGTAATGAGGCTATAGCTGCACAGCTTCAATTGGACAGGGAGTCTCAATCCTATTGATTGAAATAGGATTCCAGGAACTCCTCTATAAGGGCTACCTCAGACAGGAACACAGTGCAGGCAGTTAGCCTAGTAGGGGAGGCAAGCACTTTAGAGCTGGCTTCTCCCTTAAATGTGGCTTGCATGGGCGGCCCATTTAGCAACAGCTCCAGGCTGTCTATAAATTTGAGCCCAGTTAGCCACGAGGCTCCTTCTCAACAGGTTCATTTGTTCTTGGGGTCAACAAAGCCTTTCATCAACCTTCAAGAGGGGGTGGTAGAAATAGCCACTTATAACTGTGATTCAGTTAATATACACAGGGTGCTTACAGTGTCTGGCACAAGGTATGCCCTCAAATGTTAACTCTTCTCCCCAGAAATACAGATGCAGCTGGAACACTATGGTGTCTGGGGCCAGGGAGGTTTGGACGGCCACGTGTGGAGCTAGGACCAGAAGCACAAATCTGCTGTGTCTTAGTTATATCTGAGTAGGGAAGCAGGAAGCACAAATGCAATGTGTACAACTTAAACACTGGGTACTTTCTCATTTATTTTCAGAAAGACACACTGACAAATACTTTTATGGCAACAATTTTTAAGATAATGATATGTGGCATACAAGGTAACACACAGAACAGGGAGGGTGTCTACATGACCAAATCCTGGCACTTGCAGAGAATGACGATTTGCACAACAAAAAAGTCCTCGAGCGATGGGAAAAATCAAGCTTTGTATTTCTTTCCCCTTCACAAACTGGTATAAAAATATTTAAAGTAAAAATATTACCAAAAATATATTGAGCAGGAGTTGAGGTTGACTAGGAAGCAGGGACCCTTCTACGGCAGGTGGGAGAGCTTTGTTTGCATACTGTCCTGCCAGCAAGTCCAGCGGTGTACAGGAGGCCACCCAAGTGCATGGGGAAGAGGAAGGAGAGGACTTAAGACAGCGGGAGGCTGCCCATTCTTACATGAAATTGATGTTTAAGGGAACTGTTTTCTCAACCTAAGGCATGCATGCAGTTCAGGGCTATTTTATTCCAAGTAACTTTTGAGACCAAGCCTGCTACAAAGTTAAGGGGCCATTTTAACCGGCGACCTTTGGGTTGGCAGGCAGGCACTCCATCCACTGAGCCATACCAGCCAGGGCCCAAGGTGCCATTTTAGAAGCAGTTGCTGAGCATGCAGGAAGGCAACATCTTCGGGAGATGTTGCTGTTGAAGCTAGGCAAACAGGTGGGCAGGGAGCACCAGGTGCAAAATCAGCTGCAGGTGAGCTGAGACCTGACAAGGGAGGGTTGGAGGAATTTACAAGGGGAAACTTGAAGCAATTTCTCCTTGAGAGCAGGCAGTTTCAGTGGCTGTTCATGGGCAGCCATAGACACTGAAGAATGTAACCAAGTCTAGAGGCTACTCTACTCAAACTCTGACACTGGGCAACGAGGAGAGCACTGGGAGAGGTGGGCCAAGGTCCATTTCTCTGGCTCATAGGTTAGCTGCAGTCCAGGTGAGGGAGTGGGGAGTCTGGTTCACTCGTAAGTCCGGCACCTCCTCTGCCATGTGCATGTCCAAGGTGTGCTGGGAAGTCTTCTCAACTAGGTGGGGCAGGGGTTAGTGGGAGATGGGCTGGACGTGCTGGGGGTGGCACATACTGGCTCAGACCCTCTAACCCTGAAGGGGTCCCATGGGTCCTCACCTCTCAGTCAGCGTCCATGTGGCCTATCAGCAAGGCTAGAAAAGTGAGGTACAGGATGAACTGTTCCTAGGAATCTCTAACGCCTTGGGCATAACCTGGCTGAGGGTGGGTAGAGAAGTGTCCCTCTCAATCATTGCCGAAATTTTGCCTGACACCCTGGGATCAGTTGGCAGAGCAAAGGTGGCTCAGAACCTCTACCCGAGGGTTCTCAGAACGCGCTTCTAGGGGTCAGCCAAAGGTAATGCTCAGCAGGCCGGACTGCCCAGGCAGAACCACACTTCTCCAGATTATCAAAGGACAGAACAGCCCCAGGGTAAATGCTGACTCCCTCAGTTGAGGTCACACAGTAAGATGTCAATCACGTGGCAGAATATAATAAAGCCACAGCTGAAGGCCTAGTCTAAAAGTATTGCCATAAATACATCCAGTTGGCTCAGACACATCTAAGAGACCATTTACTTACTTTGTGCATCCACAGAGAGAGGTAAGAGGTCTAATTTCATCAAGACCCAAGCCTGGCATGTGACGGGTTCAGGGAAATAGACTGCAAGGTCAAGTGGAGAGCCTTCTGACTGCACTGGTTCTGGTGGAAGAAGAGCTGTCACTAGGGTGAATGAAACCCTTAAATTGGCAGCAGGTCTTGGCCCCAGCTGAACTGTAGGCACACACTGAGTGACAGTAGTTTTCATTAAACACAAAAACATAAAGAACAAACTCCGCTCAGTCAATGTTTCTTGATGATTCGAAGTAAGGGGGTGAGAGGGGGACCCGGTAGGCCATGTGGACAGCTTTGAAGGTAGGTATCTGTAGCGGGGAGCACAGCAGTGGAATCTGAAGTTTCCAGCCACATGAGGCTGTAAGAAATATGCTCAGGGCACAGATAGTCCCAAGTAACCTTCTGAAGTGCTGCTTCACCTGAAGCTTCATAGGAAGAATGTATGAGTCACTGTTTATCTGACAGGGGATGCCTACAAATGCGCTTTATTAAATGGAAGCAGAATTCAGAGAACTTGGGCTTTCAGGCAGCAGGAAGCTTCAACTCTGTTTAACCTGGAGTCCACTGAGTCCACCATGACATGGAAGACCCTCTCTGCCCTGGGAGCTGAGATACAGCATTCAGAGGGGTCTGCAGGGTGCCCAGCTTGATGGGGTGCACCTCCACAAACCAGGAGCCTGCCACCCTCTACCCAGACCAGGTCTCCTTCCTCTCCCACCTTTATGATGCAGGGTGTTCCAGCCTGCACTGGTGTGGGTTCCCATTCTCTGTGGGGGGAAGGGACATGCCACCAGAAGCTGTATGTGTGAAGACACCACAGATATTATTTTATCCCTGTGATTTCTATGACAGCACTGAAGGATGAAGGTGATGAATGATCTGTACCTGCAGGACTAGAGTGTCACTCAAACTTTTGGTCACAGACACTGCTCCTGCTGAAGACTGTCATGGTGCTGTTGACCACTTCTTGATTCATGGAAACTCAATATGCTGCTCACCACTGTCAGAACTGGACAGTCTTAGGTAGTGGGATACCCAGATGGAAGAGAGGAAGTAGCCACTTTCAAATGCAAAAGCAGAAATACAAAGCTCTCTGCTTTTCCTGTGAACACAGAGTTAATACCTTCAGAAACCTGGACAAATGCAGGGCAAGGACCAGGATGCAGTTCAGTATTCTGGTTGTAACAAATAAACTCTAATGCAGGGGCCATTGGAGATTGCCCAGCCAGAGGAGAGAGAATGGGCCATGGGCTCTGCTTCTCCTGCCTGTGGCACATCAGGAAATGGCATCACAGAAGTGGAGGTGATCTCAAACACCAGCAGGTGGTTGGAACTGTCCCACCTGAGGCCACACTGCCCCTCCCTGCTGTGTGTAGGGTAACTGCAGTACAAACAGTTGGAGGGTAAAGTTTACACCGACTAAACCCCTACTTTAGGTATCACCCCAAGGTCAGAGTCAAGCTGAGGCCCAGAGGAACTGGGTAACTTGGGAATTCTGATTAGTCTCTGCGTCCCAGGCAGCATTTCCAAGTTCTGAAAGCTGGGTTTGGGGCCATATCCAGAATCACAGACTGTGTGTCAGGTTGGATCACTATACTCCCCAAGAACAAATGGCTAATAAGTGACATGGTGTTACCAGTTTGGGGTTGCTGAATCAAAAGAGGGACACACCATTCAAATGAAATGTCCTAGAGAGAAGACAGGCAGAAAGCCAGTGGGTACACAGACCAGGGAGATCTGACAAAAGACGCATGAAGCAGAAGGCGGGAAGCAGCGCTTCAGTCAGTCCTGGCTGACGCTCGAGAGGATGCACGCTCTTTACTCTCGATGTCAGCAGTATGGGCAAGAACAAAGGGTTCCGCCAAAGGTGGAAACCCTCTCACATATAGAATCAAGTAAAGTGAAATGCTTGTAGACCATTTTCTTACTTTTTTGTTCCTTTGCTTCTTAACTGTAATTTTTATGATTTTATAATTTCTTTTTTTTTTCTTTTTGACTTTCATACACTCAGCCTGCTCATGGCTCATCAGAGCACCATGGGCACATGGACCTCACTGTCCTACACATCTTCTCTGGGTTGGTGTCCAGCCCCTTCCCCCCTTTCTCAGCTCTGCATTGGGTCATATGGTTAGTTGTCCCTAATGGGGTGTGAATGGAAGTGATGTGTGTGAATTCTAAGCCAAGGGGGGCTAAGAAGTATATAATTTCTCTTAATAATCAAAATGTAAATTTGATAAATTTCTAAGTTGTTAATGAAGCTCCATATTGGTGTTTATACTTGGCAATTCAGACTAATTATACAGTAATGCTATTCAGGTGGAGCAGTTCTGACCAAGAGGAATGTCTGACATTCTGAAATTCTCAAAACCCACAATACTGTGAAGTTTGACTTTCAGGAATAAAATGACTATCTTGACATAAGCTTTCACGGTTATTTTCTGGCATGGATTCTCTTACCTTCAATTATTCATACACTCAGTCTCAAAGCTCTTTTCTATGAACTGCAATCACTTTTCTCCCATGTGATGTTTCTGATGCTGAATGAGGTTTGCAGTCTGGCTGAAGGCTTTCCCACACTTACTACATTTGTAGGGTTTCTCCCCTGTGTGCGTCCTCTGATGCTGAGTAAGGTGTGTGCTTCGGATGAAGGCTTTCTCACAGAGTTTGCACTTGTAAGGTTTCTCTCTAGTGTGAATTCTTTTGTGTTGAGTAAGGGCTGAATGGTCACTGAAGGCCTTCTCACATATATTACATGTATACGGTTTTTCCCCAGTATGAATCCTCTGATGTTGGGCTAGGGCAGACTGGTCCCTGAAGGCTTTCTCACACAAACCACATCTGTAAGGTTTTTCTCCAGTATGAATCTTCCGATGTCGAGCAAAGGATGAATTATCTCTGAAAGCTTTCCCACACTCATTACACTTATAAGGTTTCTCTCCAGTATGAATTCTCTGGTGCTCAGTCAGGGAAGAGTTTACCCTGAAGGCCTTTCCGCATTCATTACATTCAAAGGGCTTCTCTCCGGTGTGAATTCTCTGATGCTGAAGAAAACTTGTACTCTGATTGAAGGCTTTCCCACATTCATTACATTTATAGGGTTTCTCTCCACTGTGAATATTCTGGTGTTTGGTAAGATGCGCCCTGCACACAAAGGCTTTGTCACATATGTCACATTTAAAAGGTTTCTCTCCGGTATGTATTCTATGATGGTGGGCAAGGTGTATGTTTCGGATAAAAGCTTTTCCACATAAGTTGCATTCGAAAGGTTTCTCTCCAGTGTGAATTTTCTGATGGTACGTGAGTGAGGAGCTCACTGAGAAGGCCTTGCCACATTCCTTACATTCATACGGTTTCTCGCCAGTGTGAATTCTTTGGTGATGGATAAGGTGTGTGCTCTGGTGAAAAGCCTTCCCACATTCTCTACATTCATACCGTTTCTCTTTAATAAGAGTTTTCTGATTCGAATTAAGTTTTTCAGTATGAATTTTCCTATGTTTATTAAGGGTCGAACTTGTAGCGAAGACTTTTCCACACTCAGTACATTCAAATGCTTTTTTGCTAGACTGTAATCCCTGACTTTGAACAGAAGATGAGCTCATGGTGTGGCACCTCCCAGATCCAACCCATTCCTGGGCACTGTCCACACGTGAGGTTTGCTGGGGCGTGAGCACCCCTTTCCGCAGCTTCACCTCCTGGCCTCCGTGCTGCCATGTCCATGGGCCATCACGCGTCCAGAGACTACTGCTAGTGAATCTCCCCTCCACCATCCACTGATCCAACTCTTCTTCAGGAATATCTGCCTTGAGCGTAGATTTCTTACTCATAGGGAGAGGTATCCAGTCTGAAAGACATCAAAAATAAAAACGTCTGTTTTATCCTAGCAAAACATCTAGTTGGGATTAAGTTGATGAGCCTGTTTAAAATGTTAATAAGAAATAGTACTTTTGAAGATTTCTTGAAGAAAAGAAAGGGGAAGAGAGGTGAACAGAGGACAAAGCAGGGAGGGGTTGATCTAATGCATAACATGTTAAGCAGGAGATCTTAGGACCTTGACTCCAGAAGTCGTAGGCCTGGGCTGGGATCCTGAGTATAACAGTTATTTTATTTGTAATTACAGAGAAGTTACCTACCTCCTAAGCCACAGGAAAACCTACACAGACCACACTATGCCAACAGATAAGAAAAAAAATGTACCTTATTTATTTTGATGATATGGACTTTATAACAATCCAGGTGTGACCTTAAGAAACCACTGAAACTAGAAGGAATGAGTGTGGCAGAAAAAAATTCAGCTCCAGAGTAGCTACCAAAACCAGTATTTTAATGCTTTATACATTCACTTGAGCATTCAGATGGGTGATAAAAAGTTAAGCTACTCTTAAGGCTGTGTGAAGGACCTCCTGCTACTGATGAGGATGTGACGTCTTCAAAATTATATGAATAATGTGACATCTGTGAGGAGAATGTGCAATGAGGATGTAATGTAAGCACAGAGTCAGGAATGTACCCATCACATCTCAGAGGGCAAGGCCCTGAATCTAGGGAAAGGAGACTACTAGTCAGTAGAAGGGAACTCTGCTTCTGGGAGAGCAACCACATTCCCATGAATTATATGACAAACTGATTCCTCTCTCCAAATACAAATTTCACACTTAACAACTGTCTCACTTGTGTTCGTGGATACCTTAATATTAACAAGTAGAGTTTTGAATTGCATAGTAGCTTTGTGTATGTATTTGTGAATATGTGCCTTTTATGTTAAGTTTACTTAAGACTCTATACTAAGACATGGAATAAGCATTAGCTACTAAACACACATAATGCAGATTATGGGAAAGTGCTTTCAAGGACAAGCATCCCTCATTACCTTTTTCCCCTACTCAATCAAGAAAATCTACAAAGAGCTATAACATTGTTGTTGTTGTTGTTGTTTAAAACCTCTTTAAAAGTTATCTGAATAAGAAAGTTAAATAGGTGTATTTTAAGGCTAAAAATCCTGGTGATCTCAGAATATATATTTGAGCAAAGAATGGTCAAAATTAAACACCAGCATTGCCAAATCTCAAAAACTTAAGAACTGACTTTCACTGGCAGATCAATATTCCTTGTGGAAAACAACTGGAAAATTTGAAGTGAAAAAAATCTGTCTAAAGTCATCCCAATGACTTTAGATGTGACTTGGGGTCAACTTGATAGACCAATTTTGGGGAGAAAAGGGAAATACAGAGAGGTGATTCCAAAACGTAGTGTTTTTAATCTCAAAGAATTTGCTGAATTCTTATGCTTCTCAGGGCAAGAGACTACAGCTAAGCAGAGATTCAGAATTTTCTATAGTCTTATACTACTATGGAGTCAAAAACTGGAGTTTGGGGCCTTCCAAGGAAGGGGGATAAGCATAGTTAATGTGTGAAGGCTCTCATTTGGGACTGAAACATTTGCATCACAGGGATTCCAGAAGATGAAAAAGTGAATGGAAACTTTATTTAAAGAAATAATAGCTGAAAACCTTCCCAACCTGAGGAAGAAAACATATCCAAGAAACACAAAATACCAAACAAGATAAACCCAAAGAGGTCCACACCAAGACATACTTTAATTAAAATGACAAAAGTCAAAGATAAAGAGACAATCTTAAGGGCAACAAGAGTAAAGCAACAAGTTACACACAAAGGAAGCCTCATAAGGCTATGAACTGATTTATCAGCTGCAACTTTACAGGCCAGAAGGAAATAGCAGGACATCTTTCAAGTGCTCAAAGAAACCTACAACCTATAATACTGTATCTGCCAGGATTATCATTCAGAATTGAGGGAGAGAGAAGGAGTTTCCCAAACAAGCAAAAACTAAAGGAAAAACATTCCAACGTCTGAATCATAGGGATGCCAAAAGGGGGAGAGGGAGAGCAAGAAATTGAAAGTTTATTTGATAAAATAATGAAGAACTTCCCCAATGTGGCAAAGGAAATAGACTTCCAGGCAGTTCAGGAAGCTCAGGGAGTCCCAAAGAAACTGGACCCAAGGAAGCACACACCATGGCACATCATAATTACATTACCCAAGACTGAAGATAAGAAATCTTAAAAGCAACAAGAGAAAAGGAGACAGTTACTGACAAAGGAGTTTCTATAAAACCATTAGCTGACTTCTCAAAAGAAACCTTGCTGGCAAGAAGGGGCTAGAAAGAAGTATTCGAAGTCATGAAAGGCAAGGACTTACATCCAAGATCACTCTATCCAGTAAAGCCATCATTTAGAATGGAAGGGCAGAGAAAGTGCTTCCCAAATAAGGTCAAGTTAATGGAGTTCATCATCACCAAGCCATTATTATATGAAATGTTAAAGGGACTTATCTAATTAGAAAAAGAAGAAGATTTAAACTATGAACAGTAAAATGACAACAGACTCACAACTATCAACAACTGAACCCCCCCCCCCACAAAAAACCCCCACAAGAACAAACTAAGCGAACAACCAGGACAGGAACAGAATCACAGAAATGGAGATCACATGAAGGGTTATCAGAGGGGAGGGGAAGGGGGAGAATGGGAGAGAAGGTACAGGGAATAAGAAGCATAAATGGTAGGTACAAAATAGACATGGAGAGGTTAAAAATAGTATAGGAAATGGAGACGCCAAAGAACTTATATGTATGACCCATGGACATAAACTAAGGGGGAAAATGCTAGTGGGAGGGAGGGTGCAGGGCACAGGGGAATAAAGGGGAGAAAAAAATTGGACAACTGTAAAAACATAATCAATAAAATATACTTAAAAAAACAAAAAACAATTAACAAAATGGCAATAAGTATATACCTATCAATAATTTCTTTAAATGTAAGTGAATTAACTGCTCCAATAAAAGACATAAGCTAACAGAATGAATTAAAGAAGAAGACCCATCTATATGTTGTGTACAAGGATTCACTCAAGATCAAAAGACACTGACTGAAAGTGAAAGGATGGAAAAATATTCCATGCAAATAGAAACAAAATGAAAGCTGGGGTAGCAATACTCATAGTCGAGAAAACACAAAATTTTTAAAAGAACAAACAAGAATATTACATAATTATAAAAGGATCAATACAAAAAGAGGACATATCAATCATAAATACCTATGCAGCCAAAGGACCATCAAAATATACAAAGCAATTATTAATGAACATAAAAGGAAAAATCCACAGGAATATAGTAATAGTAGGGGATTTTTAACACACCACTCACATCAATGGATCATTCGATCATCAAGACAGAAAATTAATCAGGAATTAATGGCCTTAAATGTCATGTTAGATCAGATTCACCTAATAGATGTTTTAGAACATTTTATCCAAAAATGCAGAAAACACACTTTTTTTCAACTACACATTCTCCAGGATAGATCACGTATCAGGCCATAAAACAAGCCTCAATAAATTCAAGAAGATTGAATTCATATCAAGTATCTTTTCTGACCACAATGGTATGAAAACTAAAAAGCAGCTACACGAAAAAAAAACTGGAAAAAAAGTGACACAAGCATGTGGAGATTTAACATCCTCTTATTAACCAACCCAAAGAGGAAATCAAAAACTATCTTGAAACAAATGAAAATACAACTGTTTTAAATGTATGGGATGTAGCAAATGCAGTTGAAGAAGGAAGGTCATATAGGCCTACCTTAAGAATCAGGAAAAATCCCAAATACATGACCTACCTCTGTTCCTAAGGGAACTAGAAAAAGAACAAACAAAATCTAAAGAAAACAAAAGGAAGGAAATAGTTAAGATCAGAGTGGAAATAAAAATGGGAATAAAAAATAGAAAAGATCACTAAAACTAAGAACTGGTTCTTTGAAAAGATAAAATTGAAAACCTTCAGCCAAACTCATCAAGGAAAAAAAAAAGAGTTCAGATAAATAAAATCAGAAATTAAAAGAAAGTTAGAACCAACACAACAGAAATACAAAGAATTATTAAAGGATGCTACAATTATATGCCAACAAATTTGACAACCTAGAAGAAATGTTATAATAAATTTTTTTTAGTATGTTACTTTCTAAGACCGAATCAGATAGAAATACAAAATCTAAATAAACCAATTACTAGCAAAGAAAATGAAGTGGTAATCAAAAATCTCACAACAAATATAAGTCCAGGGCCAGATGGCTTCACAAGTGAATTCTACATAACATTCAAAGAAGAAAATAATGCTTATCCTTTGTAAACCATTTCAAAAAACTGAAGAGGCAGAAATGCTTCTAAACACATTCTATGAAGCCAGCATTACCCAAATAACAAAACCAAACAAACACATTTAAAAAAATTACAGACACAGCTTGTGCGCCTGTGACCTGCGGGGCTGAGTGCAGACTGTCTGGGAGAGCCTTGAGGAGAGACTGGAGACAGTGGCGTTGGGGAAAGAACGGGAGGAGGAACCGGGGAGTCCCGACTCCCTCCCCGTTCGGTAGTCTCCATTGTGGGCTGGAAAGGCGCGACCCCAAAGAGGCAGAAGCGGGGCGCGCATGAACCAGACTGCCTGCGATTGAAACGCAGTCCGCACAGGGGTTGGATCCTCAGCCGAAGGGGTCACAGAACTGCCCAGAGGCCCCTGAGGGGAGACTAGAAACGGAGGCATTGGGGAAAGAACGGGAGGAGGAACCGGGGAGTCCTGACTCCTTCTCCTTGCCGAAGTCTCCATTGCGCGGGAAGAGGCCACACCCCCAAAGAGCCAAAAGCCAAAAAGCAAACATAGACACCCCCAAAACACCCAGAGCAGGCACGCACACTTGCGCCGAGTGACTGGCGAGGGTTGGCGAGCGTGTGTGTGACCCACCCGGGCTGGCAAACGCTTGCACCTGCCGGCA